TACAGCTTCTCATACCCAAAAGCAGGGATAACTGTTAGGAGGACTCAAGATGTATTTGTAGGTGATGTGATTATTTACCTAGGAAATTCAAAAGAATCAGATTTGTTTTAAAAACTTAGATATTATAAATAAGAGAGTAAAGTGGCTAGATTATAAAAATATATTTCCTTCATACTTCCATATTGTTTCTGAAATATAATAGAAAAATCCCATCACAACTGCAATACAAAAACAGCTAGGAATCTTTATGAAGGAATTTATACAACAAAAACTATGAAACTTTATTGGGAAGCTGGGAGCAGTGGCTCACACCTGTAATCCTAGCACTTTGGGAGGCCAAGGTGGGAGGATCACTTGAGCCCAGTAGTTCAGGACCAGTCTGGGCAACATAGTGAGACCTTATCTCTAAAAAGAAAAAGAAAATTTTAAAGCTTTACTGAGATACATAAAAGTGTTGCATAATTTGAGAGACATTGTTCTTCTGAAAAACCCAATATGCTATAAAGTTGTTAGAATTTCCTAAACTTAGATATTTAATCTAATTTTAATCAGAGCTTGGGTTTTTGTCTGTTTCTTTCTTATTTGTTTATTTTTAATTGGTGGAGGTATTTCCCCCTCTGATAAAATGATTCTGATGTTCATTTGGAAGTAGACATGGTTGGAAATAGCCAAGATAGTTTTGAAAAAGAAGAAGGTATAGAGAAGAGCTTCTTCAATGTACTACTGTAAAGTTACAGAGGTAAGTACATCTATGCATTCAGTGAACAGAGTAGACAGGCTGGTAATACCCTAGCATACATCGGAGTTCAAAGCCTGGTAGAGATGGCAGCTCAGTCAACAAAGAAAGAAGGGATTTTTTTTTTTTCTTTTGACAGAGTATGGTGCTGTCACCTGGGCTGGAGTGCAGTGGCGGGATCTCGGCTCACAGCAACCTCCGCCCAGGTTCAAGTGATTCTGCTGCCTCAGCCTCCCGAGTAGTTGGGGTTACAGGCACCTGCCACCACACCCAGCTAATTTTTTGTATTTTTAGTAGAGATGACGTTTCACTATCACTATATTGGCCAGGCTGGTCCTGAACTCCTAACTTCATGATCCACCCACGTTGGCCTCCCAAAGCTCTGGGGTTACAGGCATGAGCCACTGCACCTGGCCGAAAGGAGGGATTGTTTAGTCAACAAAGCCAGGTCAGTTATTTGAAGAAGAATTAGTTGGCTTCTCACTTCACTTGTACCATACACAAAAATAAAACACCAGATAAAGAATTATATGTAAAGCAAAAATTTAAGAGAAGAAAATGGGTGACCATTGGCATCTGTAACGGGGAACAGTTTTAAGGATAAAAGTAATGAAAATGTTATAAAAATAAAAATTGATGCTGGCTGTTTAGTAGAAACAAAAAATCCCTTTCACTTATCAAATATATACCATAAATAGGCTGGTCATGGCAGCTCATGCCTGTAATCCCAGCACTTTGGGAGGCTGAAGTGGGCAGATCACCTGATGTTGGGAGTTCGAGACCAGTCTGGCCAACATGGTGAAACCCCATCTCTACTAAAAATACAAAATTAGCCAGACATGGTGGTGCACATCTATAATCCCAGACGTGGGAGTCTGAGGTACAAGAATTGTTTGAACCTGGGAGGCGGAGGTTGCAGTGAGCCAAGATCCCGCCACTGCACTCTAGCCTGGGCAAGAGTGAGACTCCATCCAAAAAAAAAATATATGTGTGTGTGTGTATGTGTGTATATATATATATGTGTATATATATGTGTATATATATGTGTGTGTGTGTGTGTGTGTGTGTATATATATATATATGTGACAAATAGCAAACTAGGATAAAGTATTTACAAGTATAATCCCCTAATGTATAAATAATTTTTAATAAATCAATAGGAAAAGCTCCTGAATTTCAACAGAAAAGGGTACAGAAGACATATCAAATAATAAGAATAAAATTACCAGTGGTTAAAAACATGATTTTTTAACAGCACCAGCCTCTTCAGTAATTAGATAAATGTGATTTTAAAACAACAGAAAGATACCATTGTCTGTCTATCAAATTGAGAACTACTTTTAAAGTGTTTCCAATATTCATTACTTGTGAGACTATACCAAGATAGGCACTGTCATGTATTGTGCTGGGGTTATAGATTGATTAAAACCTTTCTGGAAAAGGGTTTCCACTTTTTAAGTGTTTCCTATTTCAAGGACCTTAAAATACTTATCACACCTTTTAACCTAACAATTTGCCTTTAGCAAGTAATCATCTATATTGTCAGGAATTTAAGTATAAAAATGTTCATTGTAAGCCAGGACCAGTGGCTCACATTTGTAATCCCAGCACTTTGGGAGGTTGAGGCAGGATGATCACTTGAGTCCCAGAGTTCAAGACCAGCCTGGACAACATGACAAAATCCCGTGTCTACCAAAAAAATAAAATATTTGCCAGACGTGGTGGCATGCATCTGTAGTCCCAGCCCCTCAGGAGGCTGAGGTGGGGGATTTCTTGAGCCCAGGAGTTTGAGGCTGCAGTGAGCCTTGATCGCTCCACTGTACTCCAGCCTGGGCAACAGAGTGAGGTCCTGTCTCTACAAAGAATGAAAAAAGTTTATTGGAGCAACATATATAATACTAAAAACTTAGAAATAATTAAATAACAGTAAGGAATTAATATGGAGTAGGAGAGTTAAACTGAAACCATTCATATGATTGAATATTATAGCGCTATTAAGAAATCATATAGGCATGGGAAAGGGTTAAGATAATACCTAGACTGAAAAACAAGATGCAAGGTATTACATAGCTCCATTTTGGCTGAGTTTTAGATGATTGTGATTTCTTTATTTTTTGCTGTTTTCCCATATTTTCTATAATTACAGATTTTGCAATTGGAAACAAAAATAACCATTGAAAATTGTTTTCAAAGAATAATATTCAAGAGAATACAAGGTGTAGTAAGTTTTCAATATTCAGTTAAAATATAGAAATCCATGGACCATTAACAGCACTTACCTTTAGGTGATGTAATACCATTCGTTTGTTGTTGTTTTCGTCTTTATTGATGGGATGTTGTTATGTGGCCCAGGTTGGTCTTGAACTCCTGGCCTCAAATGATATACCCACCCCAGCCTTCCAAGTAGCTGGGATTACAGGCACAAGCCATGTCAAATGTTGTATGTTTTTATTTATTTTTTGGTAATTGGATCTCACCATGTTGCCCAGGCTGGACTCAAACTCCTGGGCTCAAGCAATCCTCCAGCCTCAGCCTCCAGAGTAGCTGGGACTATCTATAGGCACATACCACTCTCCCCAACTTTATTTTTCAACTTTATCTCTATTTGTTTTACAACTTTTGCTCTGTTAACATACCTACTCTTATTAAAAGTTTTAAAAAATTCTCGTATTAAAACAAAGATTAGGCCAGGCATGGTGGCTTATGCCTGTAATCCCAGCACTTTGGGAGGCCGAGCTGGGTGGATCACCTGAGGTCAGGAGTTTGAGACCAGCCTGGCCAATATGGCAAAACCCTGTCTATACTACAAATACAAAAATTAGGCAAGTGTGGTGGCATATGGCTGTAATCCCAGCTACTCAGAAGGCTAAGACAGGAGAATCGCTTGAACCCGGGAGGTGGAGGTTGCAGTGAGTTGAGATTGTGCCATTGCACTCCACCCTGGGCAGCAGAGCGAGACTTCATCTCAAAAACAAAGGTTATATTCTTATCAGAGATTTCATGGATACTAACCATACTTAATCCTCAGTCTCATTATGCTCATTTAATTTTTATTATCCATATGTTGTCATATTTAGATTATGTTCATTTTTCACCAGTTTTGTTAATTCCTAACATGTTTTGGTTTGTTTGTTTTTGAAACAGAGTCTCACTCTGTCGCCCAGGCTGGAGTGCAGTGGTGCAATCTCGGCTCACTGCAACCTCCACCTCCCAGGTTTAGGCGATTCTCCTGCCTCAGCCTCCCAAGTAACTGGGATTACAGGCACCTGCCACCATACCCAACTAATTTTTGTACTTTTAGTACAGACAGGGTTTCCCATGTTTGCCAGGCTGGTCTCGAACTCCTGACCTCAGGTGATCCATCCGCCTCTCCCTCCCCAAATACTGGAATTACCGGCGTGAGCCACTGGGCCAAGCCATGGTTTTTGTTTATAAAAGAAAAAGAAAATTTCTAGATTTCACTTTATTCTCTGATAGAAGACTAAATTACTTAAATATAAATTTTAGGAGGTACATGTTAAATTAACCTAATGAATTTGTAGCATTGAGAAGTATTCATATCTGTTAAAATTTCAAAAGGTACAAATGAATTTTTTTTAATGGTGATTCTATGTCCAGTAAATTAAGACAGAAATCATTATGCAGAAGAAACAGCACCCCCTTAACCATGTTCTTTTTACGAACTGCCTCTGTTCTCACTTTACTGCTAGGAAGAAGTAATGTGTTTTCATGTGATATAAGTACATATGAGTCATGTTGAGTTTATTCTCCCATTTGTCCAATTCCCAGGCAACCTGTAGGTGGTGTTAACCTTTAGTTACATAATATAACAAAACAAACATTAAACCTACTGCTTCTGGGACGATCTTCTCACCAGAACTCTGGGAAATGGGAGGGTGTTACCACTGACTGAATAAAAGTATCTGACAAATGTAAGAGTTCTTTCAAATAGTGAGATAAGAAATGTATATAAATTATTTGATGGACTATTTACTTTCTCTCTATACAGACACACTATGTATCAGTATATAATGTGTATTTTTGTTTTATAGATACTAAATATGAGGTTCTAGAATGAGTTTTCAGTTTGCAGAATTCTGAGAATGCAGTTCCAACATCTTTGAGAGGACAACCACCAGGATTGCACTTTCGACATTAGTCAAAATGAAGCGAAGTCAATCTGTTGAAAGCTTTGTTTTGCTTTTCTGATTAGTTCGTTTAATAAGACATTCAAATTATGATATTTAATTTCTTCCCTTAATAGCTTGGTGCTAACAGTGGTTTGCACATCATCATCTTTGATGAAATTGATGCCATCTGCAAGCAGAGAGGGAGCATGGCTGGCAGCACGGGAGTTCATGACACTGTCGTCAACCAGTTGCTGTCCAAAATTGATGGCGTGGAGCAGCTGAACAACATCCTAGTCATTGGTATGTCTGCTTTTTAAAAAAGTAGTATTCTTTCAAAAACATTAGCCCCAGGATCTGAATTAAGATGTGTGTAGGCTTATAGCTCACCCACAGATGAAAAATACACATGAAACAATGGAATGCAGTGGTTTTCAAACTGGGTCTTGCAGACCTTCAAGGATCCTCAGAGGTGCTTTCAGGGTCAGTGAGGGCCAGGGAGTGCATTTCAGATCCTACATCACCATTATAACTTCCTCTTTTAGCTGTTTTATGTACTGAGCTGCTTCTGAAGATGACTTCTGTTGGGGGAGGGGCGGGGAACACCCTGCTGTTTTATGAAGTCTGAAAACCACTGGCAAACGTAAAAAGAGAAGGAACTTTGGAGTCAGAGAGATTGTGTCACTTTGCCTTTCTATCACTTTGACAGATTATTTACCCTTTGAACCTTAAATTTTCTTTTTAAATATGGGAAGTCTTCATTACATTTATATTCCTTTGGCTCATACATAGTGAAATACAAAGCAAAGTTTCCTTAGCTTCTTAGGGAAATTACTATTCTTACCTATACTAAAAGGACATTTGATTTTATTTTTGCACTCTGATCATTTGTTGTTTTGTTTTAACATCTGTGTTCAGGAATGACCAACAGACCAGATCTGATAGATGAGGCTCTTCTTAGACCTGGAAGACTGGAAGTTAAAATGGAAATAGGTAAGGAGATCTGTCACTGATTGGGTGTGTGGTGGGGGAGTGGAGGCATTTAAAGTTCATTAACAGGAACAATGTCATATGACTTAGTTTTTTTTTTAGAAAAGGTTTGTATCATGAGAAGTAGATGTTTACATGCTTGGGTACCTACAAGAAAAACATTAGGATTATAATAATCTCCTCTGGGCTGGGTGCAGTGCCTCACACCTGTAATACCAGCACTTTGGAAGGCTGAGGCAGGTAGATCACTTGAGGTCAGGAGTTCAAGACCAGCCTGGCCAACATGGTAAAACCCCATCTCCACTAAAAATACCAAAAAAATTAGCCGGATATGGTGGCGCACACCTGTAATGCCAGCTACTGGGAAGGCTGAAGCAGGAGAATTGCTTGAACCTGGGAGGCAGAGGTTGCAGTGAGCTGAGATCGTGCCACCGTGCTCCAGCCTGGAGGACAGAGCGAGACTCTGTCTCAAAATAGTCATAGTGATAATAATAATAATAATAATCTCCTCTGATGGTGCTTTCGAGACTAGGAAAATGCCTATTTTATTTTTAATTTCATCAGGCTTGCCAGATGAGAAAGGCCGACTACAGATTCTTCACATCCACACAGCAAGAATGAGAGGGCATCAGTTACTCTCTGCTGACGTCGACATTAAAGAATTGGCCATGGAGACTAAGAATTTCAGTGGAGCTGAACTGGAGGGTCTGGTGCGAGCAGCCCAGTCCACCGCTATGAATAGACACATAAAGGTCAGGAAAATCAGCTAACCAGATGATAAACATTATGCCAGTATTCTTTCTCTTTCCTTTCAAGCATATCAAGGGGTAGGGCAGTGCTGACTTTTGGTGGAGAAGAGATGGTAAGAGGAATAAGAATTAATTGTCAACTGCTAAGTCTTTGGAGTAGCAGGAAGGAAGACAATGTTTGCATCCGCCCTGTAGCAACCGCTCACTCACCTACCTTAGGTTGTCACCATCTGACACAGACACGTGAAGTGAAATTTTGAATAAGTGTTTTTAAATATTTGTGCCATATTAAGTTCTAACATGGCAGAAGAAGTTGGAGTTTCCATGTGCTAGAATTATGGGGGCTGCTTCATTCGGCAGCTCTGAATACTTGATGTTTTCAGGGTATTGGGCTGAGACATAAAGATAATAAATTGTGAGCTCTTCCCTCAGGGAGTTCAGAGTCAGGAAGATGGACATATTTTCGAATTAGTACAATAATATTGTAGTTACCATGGTAGAAATACATACTAGGATACTTTTATTTTGATAAATAAAGTGCTCTTCATCTTCCATCTCTTCTCTCCTTCAGGTTTTAGTTACCACCTGTAGACAGATATACTGAACATACCTGTCTCCCACTTTCAGATTTGCACTAAATACCCTCACCTAGATGTTTTATCAGATCTCAGATTTTATATTCCAAAACCAAATTTATTGTCTTTTTACTATTTCCTTTCTGCTCCCATTTCTCTGTTTATCCCAATTTTCCAGGCCTAAAACTTCAGGATTATCTTTGATTCCTGACACTCTACTGTGCCCTACATCAAGTCACTTGCTAAATTTTTTCGGTTCTGTCTTGGTAGTGTCTTTTAGTTCTCACTGCCACTACCCACCTTCTCTTTGATTAACCTTCCTGTTTCATATCCTTCAATCCTTCAATCCTTCAGACACTTTCAATGATTCTCCATCATTTACAAAACAAAGTACAGGCTTCTTTTGGGTCTTTTGGGTCCTCTAGATCTGACTCTAACTGGCCTTTCCGAATGTACTCCTGATTGTTCTCCATATACTTCAGCCAAACAAATACTTACCCGTCATCAGACGTTAATTTATTTTTCAAGCTCTCTGCTTTGGTTTTGTTTTTTGTTTGTTTTTGCTTGTTGTTTTGGGTTTGGGTTTTTTTTTTTTTTTTTTTTTTTTTCATCACTGAGGATCTTTGTCCTCTACATTTACCTATCTTTTCATTACCTGGCTCATAGGCTGCCACTGTCCTCATTTTCCCTTTCAAGAATGATACACTCTTTTCCTTCTTGAAATAGTAATGTATCATTTATGGTACTGTCAGTTGACTTGGTTCACAGTAGGTTTCTTTGGCATCTACTGCATGCTAGACCCTGTGCTAGGAGTTGATATTCCAACTGCAGAGAAGTAAAGAGCCAACTGTCAAGCAGCCCAGTCTAACCATCCACATGCAGTAATAGAAAGTACATGCAAAGCAAGGAAGTGAATGAATGTCAGATGTGGTCCACTTGTTGGGTGAGAGAAACCTTCACAGAGGAATTTGGAATTTTCTGGGTGGATTTGCATGTCTGTTGGTAGGGTAGGGCCTTTTAGGTAGAGGACAACATATGCAAAGGAGCAGAGACACAGAATAGCATGGTGTGTGGGGGTAATTTAGTATTGCTTCAGCATGGTCATTAGGGGAGGGGTGGTAGAAAGAGAGATTGTGGGGGATAAGTCAGGAGACTAAAGCAGGAAGGGAGCACAAAGAGCCTTTTATACTCTGCTAAGAAGTATGGACTTTTTTCTGTGAGTAGTGCTAAGCCATTGAGTTTTAAGAATAGCAGTGACATAGTGTTAAAACATAAGATCACTCTGGCAGCTGTGTCGAGTGGAGTATTTAGAGGAGTGGCGTTGGTGAGCACAGGACAAGAGGGGGAACTTTTATAACAGTTCAGGCAAGAAATAAAAGCCCGAACAGTTTGGTTGAGTGTGTTGTAGATATTTGGGTGTATCCTATCACTGGTTCTAGACCAGGAGTCCAGTTAACTACCAGTTTATATAAATAAAGGGCTTTCCTGTAACACAACTACACCCATTAATTGTCTGTGGCTGCTTGCATGCTACAATGGCAGAGCTGAGTATTTGCTGCATGGCCCACAAAGCCTGCCACTTTACAGAAGAAGTTTGCTGGCCCTTATTCTATACTTTAAATCCCTATCTTACCTCAGAGTCTCCCATAGTACCCCAAACAGGTGTAAATAATGAGCACATGGTAAGTGTCCAGTAAATATTTTTTAAATGAGTAAACTTACATAGATATTTTGAATCAAACTCTATAGTCATGATTTCCCTACATAATACAGGTGGCTTTGTTCTAGCTCAAGAATACCAAAGTTTTGGATGGTGTGGGAATATCGTATTGGGTCTTTTATAGAATGGATCCATTCAGGGACTAGGTTTATATTTTTCCTCCTTGCTATAATGTTTTAATAAGAAGAGATGGTGACTTCAAGAAAAATGATGTAAATGATGTGACAGTTGCTCCCTACCATACTGATCTTTCATCTCAGACCACATAGGTGCATCTTGATATAATCCACAGTAACTAGTTTACTAGTTTTCAGATTTTTCATAGGCATTGGCACCTGTAATCCCAGCTACTCTGGAGGCTGAGGCAGGAAAATCACTTGAACCTGGGAGGTGGAGGTTGCAGTGAACTGAGATTATGCCATTGCACTCAGCCTGGGCAACAAGAGCAAAATTCCCTTATCTAGTCATTTGTCATTTTAGCTACAATAATCCCATCCCAAAATGTCACTTTAAGCCATTGTCTCAGTAAGAAACATGCTTTCTTCAAGCATATGTAGGTTTTATCTACATACGAGGCAATGAGGAATGGTGGGAAGATCGTAGTCAGAAGGTGTGGTTATGCTTTGCATTTCTTTCACTTTTTTGTTTCTGACCTGTCAGGGAGAAATCCTACCTATCTAATCAGATTTTTATGAGAATGAAAACAAATACTTTATGTAAAAGTGCCTTGTAAACTGTAAATGATAGTTATCTCCATTTTTTATTATTGGCTGATTTGAGGGGATATTAGTACATTCTTTTTGATATATGAATTTCTGATTTTTATTGACTCTTGGTAGTTACACTTTTTCTAACTGTAAAGCTAAAATGTTTGTCGTGATTATATAGAAGGTATTATCCTTCAGATTGGCAAGTAAGCAGTAGTGCACATAGTTCACATGGTTTCCATTACTTTATTCTGTGTGATTGAATTATCTGTAAGCTTCAGGTGATATATATTGACTTGTGATCAATACCCCTTGTACCAAACAGCTCCTAATTTTTCACAATATCAGTGGAATAACTATGTAGGCACTTTAGGGACGAGAAAGCTATGTAAGACACTAATCTTAACCCCAAAAAGAAATATTACTAGCATTTCATTTTCTGCATTTTAAAAAATCTGCATTATCAAAAGGTCTTTAAACACTGATTTTCCAATGACTCCTCCTTGGCTACACAAAAGAAATACGGTTTTAGCCTTCCCATTGCTGTAGATGTTTATAGCTTTACTGATAGTGATTAATGAATAAATATTTAAATTGAAACTTATGATTTAAAGTTGCTCCTGAACTTTAAAACATTCACAACATACAACTGTTATGATGTTCTTTCTTTGTATTTTAAAAAGCCATTATTAGTGTTATTTTGCTTCCTCTTCAAAAGATTGAGGCCTAAACAAAGATTTCATCAGATGGACTGAACAAGTCTTTCCTGTTAAACTGTTTTTTCAGGTTTTCTAAAACAAGTGGAAAATCTGGTCACAAACACCTGTTGTTCATGTCATTTGCACTTGAACCCATGATTGCGGTCAACTAAAATTCATGTGACATTTGATTGTTTTTGTCTTGAAAGGAATTTCTGCTTCAGGTAGAGAAGATTCATAACCCAAATTTTTCTCTCATCTGTTGTGAGGAAATAAACTGAGGACACACACACACACACACACACACACATATTCTCACACAATTTCCACCTGAGTCAAAGCTCTAAGTTATGTTTGCAGAATTTCATAAAATTATTTCTTTTTTTTTTTTTTTCCCCAGAATTTTTGATTGATTAAGGTCATTCTACCCTTAATTTAAGAGGAATGATAAGAACTTTGAAAGGTCAGATTTAAAAGGTTATGAAATTTAAGGGTGACCACTTGATATTTGCTAGTGTTGAAATACAAGTTTATTAGTTTCTGCAGGTATAAGCTGAAAGATGCTGCCTCTTCTATATTGATTAGCTGTTATAAATAAAATGTAGAAAAATGTTGCTAGTTCAAACAAATGAGAAAAGGTTTTCCAAATGAGTAAAAATTTGGAATTGTAGACTTTTAAAAATAAAGATTTTACAAATTTTGTTAAAATGCTAAAAATTGGCTAAAAGAAGTCCTTGTAAAATTTATTTTAATGAGCAGGTAGGAATAATTTACAATTGGAATGTTGATTACTTAAAATTATGCAATTTTTAAAATTCTTTGTATGCCTGAAAATGGCTTGTTCTGAAATACTTCTTCCCCATAGCCATCTTAATTCACTTTTAAGAAAGGACTTAGCAATTAATAGGGCGAGTCTTCTCTTAATAATTGGCAAAAAGTCTAGTTTTATACCAGCTTCAGTCCTGAAATCTATCATACATTTTGGCAAATGTTGAAAAACGGGCAAGATTTTTCTTTCATACTGTTGTATGATTCTGTCATTTAAATTCAGTTTTACTATAAGAGAATCAGAATGTAAAATATTATGGTAAAAACCTAGGCCATTGTAGGAAAGAGGTGTTTAAAGTGAGACTGGTAGCTTTGTTGGGGTTTTAATGTTTCAGTCAGAGCTTCTGTCTTCACTTTGGCCTGAGAGTTTGTATCTTGTAGAATCCTTTCAGATGTATCAAAAAGTTTGAATCAGAGTTAAAACTTTTATATAAGGGTATCTAGGAAGGAAATGCTGTATCTGCCTTTTATAAATTATGAAAACCTCCAGGTTTGTATAAGTATAAAATGAGATATGTGATATGATGAAATGAGATAGTATATATGAACATACTTTATAAACTATAAAGAACTATAGACATTTATATATTATGAATTATCATAATTCTTTCAGGGAGATGCTTGTTTCCCATTACACCATTTTTCTTTTTTTTGGAGATGGAATTTCGCTCTTATTGTCCAGGCTGGAGTGCAATTGCGCAATCTCAGCTCACCGCAACCTCCGCCTTCCAGGTTCAAATGATTCTCCTGCCTCAGCCTCCCAAGTAGCTGGGATTACAGGTGTCCACTACCACGCCCCATTAATTTTGTAATTTTAGTAGAGACAGGGTTTCACCATGTTGGTCAGGCTGGTCTCGAACTCCTGACATCAGGTGATCTGCCTGCCTCGGCCTCCCAAAGTGCTGGGATTACAGGCATGAGCCACCACTCCCAGCCCATTTTTCCTTTCTTAAACTTAGAAATGTCAAATAAATCTGATTAATATTTATCAAATGCCTCATATGTGCAAATATAAGCCCTATTAATAATTTAAATGTTAATTGTTCTGTTTAAGTAAAATATTTGTCTCCTTTTTACATTTACTTTCTCTCTTTTTAAAAGTATAGAAGTCATACATGAAGGCATTTTTTTTGTAAAAGATTTAAGAATGTCAAAGCATATAGGGAGCAATGAGAAAGGCCATCTCTAACATTGCTTTCCTTTCCCTCTCCAAAAAAGGAAATTTCTTTATATAATATTACATTCATACTCATATGTGCTTTTCTTTTTAAAAAAAAAAAAGAGAGAAGAAGAACATTAATGGAATTATACTGCAATTTACATTTTTCACTTGCAAATATGCCTTAGATAACTTTCTGTGTCAGTATATGTAAGTCCCCTTCATTATTCTGAACAAATGCAGAGTATTCTAGACTATTGCCACATAATGGAAAGTATAATGAATACAGGGACCTTTTCTATTTTATTTACTGCTATGACTCCAGTTCCTTAAACAGTGTTTGGTGTTTTGTAGGTACTCAGTAAATAGAATTAATGATAATTTAACATATGGATTATTTATGGTTGTGTCTTTTGAAAATAATACTGTTGTGAAAATGCTTTACTTGCCTCCCTATGCACTTAAAGAATCATTTTCTAGGGTAGCTGTCCAGATGTCTTTTTGAAGACATGGTTTCACTGTCTTCTAGTTTCTAATGTTGCCAGTGAGAGTTATCATACCAATGTCATTCTGGTTTCTTTGCAGGAAACATGTTTTTGTCCCTCAGAAAGGTTCTAGGACTTTGTCTTCACCTTTGGAGCTCTGAAAGTTTACAGTAGTTGGTCTAGAGAGATGTAGGCTTCTTTCCATTTATCCTGATCATCACTCACTGAACCCTTTAAACTGCAGAGGCACACTTTTCTTCAGCTGTAGGAAATGTGTTTATTTTCCGTGTTTTATTGTTTCTTTTCTATCATTTTTTCTGTTCTCTCCTTCCATAACTCCTGTTAGATCACAGTTAAAACTTCTGGGTATTTCTTTTATGCTTTGTAGCTTTTCTGTCTCACTTTCTGTCGTTTTGTGGGATTCGGGGCAGAAAGGGAGATAAATAACTGTGTTCTGTTTGCCATCTTCATCCAGCTTCTTGACATAGTTCTTTTTATCCTACAAGGGTAACTTTGTTTTATGTCTGTCATTTCATTTGTCTCATAGTCTTTTCCTAAAAAAAAGACTCATATTTCATAGTAATTTATGAAAGGTTGATATTTATTTAATATGCCTTTGTTTTATAGTCAGCTTTTTTTTAAAGATGCTCTTTTTTTTCAAAGCCATGATACCAATTTAAAAGTTAGACCATCTTGCTTTGTGCTATTGGTAGTGAGCCCAGTCACTTTAAAACACTTGTTGGTATCTTAATCACTCATCAGGTCCAGGCAGCTCCAAGTGCTGATAAAGTCCTTGATGCTTCTCCAGATGTCTAAATGCTAGCTCCAGGTGCAGTAAGCAGACTATCTGGAGCTGGCACATAGATTCTGAAGCACAACATATTAATACAAAGGAAAGTTTTAGGTTCTTGGTCTCCTAGAGTGATGGTTCTTAAGCCTGGTTCAGTACCAGAATCGCCTGTGGTACTTTATGAAACTATAAAGACCCTCTACTAGACCTGTTAAATCAAAATCCTAAGGAGAATGGGACTAATCGTCTGTATGTCTCTGAAGGCTCTGGAGGTTATTCTGATGTGCAGCCAAAAATCACTGTTTTCATCTCGATATATATTTTCTTTTTGTATGTGTTTTTCACTGTTCTTACGTTCTGTATGTATTTTTTCTTACTCAGGCCTTATGAGTAAATGGCTATACAGTGTCCCTTGGTACAGATGTGTTTTAATTTACATAACTCATCCCCTCTTGGTAGACATTTATTAATATGCTTCCAGTTTTTTTTTCATTACAAGTTACTTTAGTAGAGGTAACTTGTGTATATAACTTCGTACACATTTGTAAATATATTTTTGGGATAAATTACTAGAAGTGGAATTGTTTAGACAAAGAGTATGCATATTTGTGAATTTGAGAGATGTGTTTGGTTTCCAATTTTTAAAATTGCATTAAAATACCGATAAATTTACCATTATAACAATTTTAAGTGTATAATTCAGTGGCACTGAATACATTCTTCATGTTGTGCAACCATCACTACCTTTCATCTCCAGACCTCTTCTCATCTTGTAAAACTGAAACTCCATACCCATAGACAGTAACTCCCCATTCCCTCCTCTCCCTATTCCCTGCAACTGCCATTTTATTCTCGGTCTCTTCAATATCTGCTACTCTAGGAACCTCATATCAGTGGGTTGTACAGTATTTGTCTTTTTGTAACTGGCTTATTCAACTTAGCATAATGTCCTCAAGGTTCATCATGTTGCAGCATGTCAGAATCTTCTTCTTTTTAAGGCCGAATTGTATGTACACACCACATTTTGTTTATCCATTCCTCTGTCAATGGACATAGAGATTTCTTCCACATTTTAGCTATTGTGATTATTGCTGTCATGAATAAGGCTGTACAAATATCTCTTCAAGCCCCTTTTTCAGCTCTCTGGGGCATATACCCAGAAGTGGAATTGCTGGATCATATGATAGTTCTATTTTTAATTTTATGAGGAACCACCATATTTTTGTTTTCCACAGTGACTGAACCATTTTACTTATGTTCCCACCAACAGTGCATAAGAGTTCTGATTTCTCCACATCCTTGCCAATAATACTACTTATTTTCTGCATTTTTGTGGTAATAGTCATCCCAATAAGTATGAAGTGAAATCTCATTGTAGTTTTGATTTGCATTTCCCTAATGATTAGTGATGTTGAATATCTTTTCATGTGCTTATTTAAGGCCATATGTATATCTTCTTTGGATAAGTGTTTATTTAACTTCTTTGTCCATTTTTTATTTTTGCTGTTGTTCAATTTTGGCAGTTCTCTATGTATTCTGGATGTTAATCTTTTATATACATAATTTGCAAATATTTCAGATTTTTTAAATCTGTGAAAATATGCTTTTTAATCCTCAAGAGTTACATTATTAAACTGAAAATATTCTTAACTATTCTTAAATTTTGGAAGTCCTTACATTTTGTTTTTATCTCTTCTTAGGCCAGTACTAAAGTGGAAGTGGACATGGAGAAAGCAGAAAGCCTGCAAGTGACAAGAGGAGACTTCCTTGCTTCTTTGGAAAATGACATCAAACCAGTGAGTATGCCCATTGAGTGATATATGGTCCAAAAAGTAATGATAATAGTAACTCAAGAGAAAACTAAGTGCCATTTACTCAGTATTATGGAAGGTTATAGCATATGCAGTTTCATAAAATGAGAAAATCTTAGTATAAGAAATATTCAGTATGAGAAACATCTGTGCAATAATCCTCATGGCTGGTGATATTACTTACCTAAATATTTTCATGATAGGAAACTCACCATCTTGTAAGGCAGCCCATTCAGTTTTGAGACTTTCCAATTATTGTTTTACTTTATATTGAACTAAAACTAATTTTTTTATTGGTTCTTACACAATCCCAAGCTACAGAAACCTAAATTCAGTCCCTCTTCCATATGTTAGGATATTTAAAATTAACTCTCATATCCTCCTCCTCCTCTCTGTGTCTCTCTTTCTCTTCCTTTCCTCAGCCTCCTCCAAGGCATCCCTTTTTCTTGCTCAGTACATTCAGTTTCTTTAGTTTAGTTGACTGCTGTAGTTTCTAAGACTTACCCTTTTTTTTTTAAAGTATTTTCTTAAAACATTCAAAATAGTCATAGCTGGATCTTTGGAATACAGTTTAAGGTTATTAACCCATTTTCCTCTAAAACAACAACTAACATTTGAGTAACCATTGTTTAGAATCCTGTGTTAGTACAAAAACAAATTTTAGGAAGTCCCAGTTCTTAAAGAAGTGTTTGTTTTTCTTTCTTAAATGGACCTCAGGTGCACAGAATTAAGATTAATCTTAATCTTTATGACACACTTATTTCTGTATTTTCATGGTGTGCAAAATAAAATATAGTATATGTAGTTTTCTGGGACTTGCTATTTATTAAATATTTTATTACCAAGAGCCATCTGTATCAGGGATTCCCAGCCCCCGGGCCACATACAAGGACCATATAAGAGTCTGTGGCCTGTTAGGAACTGGGCCACACAGCCGGAGGTGTGCAGCAAGTGAGTGAGCTTCATCTGTATTTACAACGACTCCCCATTGCTCGAATTACCACCTGAGCTTCACCTCCTGTCAGATCAGGTGACATTTGATTCTCACAGGAACATGAACCCTATTGTGAACTATACATGCGAAGAATCTAGATTGCATGCTCCTTAGTCTCTCATCACTCCCATATGAGACCATCTAGTTGCAGGAAAACAAGCTCAGGGCTCCCACTGATTCTACATTATGGTGAGTTGTTTTAATTATTTCATTATATATTACAATATCATAATAATAATAGAAATAAAGTACACAATAAATGTAATGTGCTTGGGCTGGGCGTGGCAGCTCATGCCTGTAATCCCAGCACTTTGGAATGTGGATCATAAGGTCAGGAGTTCGAGACCAGCCTGACCAACATGGAGAAACCCAGTCTCTACTAAAAATACAAAAATTTGCTGGGTGTTGTGGCAGGCACCTGTAATCCCAGCTACTCAGGAGGCTGAGGCAGGAGATTCACTTGAACCCGGGAGGTGGAAGTTGCAGTGACCTGAGATCATGCCACTGCATCCTAGCCTGGGTGACAGAGTGAGACTGTCTCAAAAAAGAACAAAACAAACAAATAAAATGTAATGCGCTTTAATCATCCCAAAACTACCCCCTCCCCCCATGGAAAAATTGTCTTCCATGAAACTGGTCCCCGCTGCCAAAAAGGTTGGAGACCGCTGATCTATATGATTTCTTGTAACTAGACATCATTCGTTTTCATGCTGAATAGCATTCCATTGTGTGACTACCACAGTTTATCTATTTTTCTGTCAATTGTGAATGTTATCAGTTTTTTGTTATTAAAAAAAGATTTGTCATAAGCATTCTTGAATGAATTTCTCTTGGATGTTTATACTAAGATGTTTATACTAATTTAATAAAATTACTGGGTTGTTGGATATATGAATGTCCCAACTTTAAAAAACATTTCCCAGTGGTTGAACCAATTAACACTGCCCCTAATAGTGTGAAAGATATCCTCTTGTTGTATATCCTCTCCAACAGTTGGTATTATCAGATTTAATTTTTTTTTCTTTTTTTTGAGACGGAGTCTCACTCTGTCACCCAGACTGGAGTGCAGTGGCTCGATCTCAGCGCACTGCAACTTCCATCTCCCAGATTCAAGCAATTCTCTGCCTCAGTCTCCCAAGTAGCTGGGATTACAGGTGCCCACCACTATGCTCATCTAATTGTATTTTTGATAGAGACAGGGTTTTGCCATGTTGGCCAAGTTGGTCTTGAACTCCTGACCTCAGGTGATCCACCTGCTTCGGCATTCCAAAATGCTGGGATTATAGGCGTGAGCCACTGCACCCGGCCTCGGATTTAATCTTTGTCATTCAGTTGGGTGTAAAATGAGATCTCATTTCAGTCTTGATTTGCATTTTACTGATTACTTAAGAATTTAAGCATTTCTTCATATGTTAATTGACCACAGGCATATCTTCTGTGAAATACTGTTCATGTCTTTGCCTATTTTTCTGTTGTATTGCTTATTAGATTGATACAAATTCTTTATATACTTTTCTCAATTTTGTGTTGTGTTAAAATATATATAAAGTTTACCATTGTAATCATTTTTAAATGTATAGTTCAGTGGTATTAAGTACATTCATAATGTTGTGTAATCATCACCACCATCCATCTCCAAAACTCTTTTCTTAAACTGAAACTCTCATTAAACGTAACTCCTCTTTTTTCCCTCCCCTGCAACATCTGACACCCACCATTCTACTGTCCATCTTTATGTATTTCACTACTCTTAAGTACCTCATATAAGTGGAATTATGCAGTATTTGTCTTTTTGTAACTGGCTTAGTTAATGTAGCATAATGTCCTCAAGGTTCATCTATCTTGCAGCATATGTCAGAATTTTCTTCCTTTTTAAGGCTGGATAATATTCCATTATATGGGTCAGGCAAGGTGGCTCTCACCTGTAATCCCAGCACTTCAGGAGATTGAGGTAGATGGGTCACCTGAAGTCAAGAGTTCAAGACCAGCCTGGCCAACATGGTGAAACCCCATCTCTACTAAAAAATACAAAAATTAGTGAGGAGTGGCAGCACACACCTGTAATGCTAGCTACTCGGGAGGCTGAGACATGAGAATCACTTGAACCTGGGAGTCGGAGGTTGCAGTGAGCCGAGATCATGCCACTGCACTCCAGCCTGGGTGACAGCGAGACCCTCTCTCAAAAAAAAAAAAAATCGTTATATGTACATACTACGTGTTGTTATCCATTCCTCTATCAATGGCAGTCAGGCTTCCTCCACATTTTAGCTATTGTGAGTAATGCTGTCATAAGCATGGCTATACAGATACCTCTTCAAGACCCAGTTTTCAGTTCTTCTGGGTATGTACTCAGAAATGGAACTGTTGGATCATATAGTAATTCTATTTATAATTCGAGGAACCACCATACTGTTTTCCACAGTAGCTGCACCATTTTACACTCCCACCAATGGTGCACAAAGGTTCTTATTTTTCCACATGCTCACCAATACTTAACTATTTTGTGTTTTTTTGATAGTAGCTATTCTAATGAGTATGCAGTGAAATCTCATCGTTTTGATTTGTATTTTCCTAATGATTAGTGGTGATAAGCATCTTTTCATGTGCTTATCAACCATTTGTTATATATTCTTTTTTTTTTTTTTTTTTTTGAGACAGTCTGGCTCTGTCACCCAGGCTGGAGTGCAGTGGTGTGATCTCGGCTCACTGCAACCTCTGTCTCCCAGGTTCAAGTGATTCTCCTGCCTCAGCCTCCCCAGTAGCTGGGATTGCAGGTGCCTACCACCACACCTGGCTAATTTTTTTGTATTTTTAGTAGAGACAGAGTTTCACCATGTTGGCCAGGCTGGTTTCAAACTGCTGACCTCAAGCAATCCGCCCACCTCAGCCTCCCAAAGTGCTAGGATTACGGGCATGAGCCACCGTGCTTGCCCATCATTTGTCATATATTCTTAACAATAATTATTTGTTCCAAGTATCTCCTTTAAAGAGAAAAGCCAATTTGTTTAGCCCTTTTTATTCTATTGTGACTTTTAAATATAAAATAATTACTTTCAAAAGTAACTCTAAGATTTTTTTTAAAGACAAGTAATTTGGCTATGAAGAAGTGACTACTAAAAACTTAATTTTATTTATTCCAAGGGTCTGAAGGATAAAACAAAAAAAAATGAAATTATGGGATATGTAAGGAAGATGTACATGTTATATATCTTGGGAGAATCTCTGTTTTATGGTTTAGGCATCTTAAAGCTTCTGCTGTGAGGCATGGAGTATATACCTGGAACGTGTTAAAGACAAAACGTGTTTTTTTTTTTTGATGGAGTCTCATTCTGTCACCCAGGCTTGAGTGCAGTGGTGCGATCTTGGTTCACTGCAACCTCCGCCTCCCAGGTTCAAGCAATTCTCCTAGCTCAGCCTCCCAAGTAGCTGGGATTACAGGCGTACACCACCACACCCAGCTAATTCTTATATTTTTAGTATAGATGGAGTTTCACCATATTGGCCAGGTTGGTCTCGATTTCCTGATCTCAAGTGATCCACTGGCCTCAGTCTCCCAAAGTGCTGGGATTATAGGCATGAGCAATTGCACCCAGCCATAAAAATTTCTTAGAACAGCCATTCAGCCAGGATAGATTAGATTCTTCATTACTTTTTACAGGGCTACTGACTTTGCCATATCCAGGCCAAAGAATGAGGGCTTTTCTCTGTATTCAGGAATCAAATGACCAGTATATGCAAGTGTACCACCTAAAAAAGTGGTCTGAAAAATTATTCTGTGGCAAAGTAATAGAGATACGAGATCACTGGATACTGTTTCAGAGACAGTATTACAAAAACGGCTTTGTGTGAGGTGCATGTTCGAAAGAACTATTAAAGCTATTTCATACATCAGTTAATCACAGATTGACTTTTTGAGGGATGTGATGATCTTTAAAAAGTTGAAATTCTCAAGATACATGATCTTTACATGCACATGATCTTTACTTATGGTAGGTTATGTTTTCCTATTCTGTAACCTCATGAAAATCCAATTCAATTGTAAATGCTAAAGTTATTGACTACTTTTGGCAGCTGTTTTGATGGGAGGTATAACCTTTGAGATTAAAAGCTGAAAATCAAGAAGAGTGCAATTTAATCTTCAATATGTAGTGAACAAAAATAGAATTATTATCTGTAGTAATTGCTTTTATTTTCTTTGCATTATAGCTGCTCATTTCTGTCTCATCCTAAATCTTACATTTACACATATAAACTTACCTTGATGCCATTTAACTGTGTCCCCTACCACAAAGTTGATGTGCACATGATCTTCTCATTATCATTTCGTATTCTCATGTTAATCCATAGCACCTGCAGTCAGTGTTAAGGTAGTGTATTTGTCTACTGCGCTGTTTCTAAGTCTATAATCTCTTTTTTCTTTGTTCTTTGCAAAATAGCCTCAAACTGCATACTATTGATAAAAATAAGCACATTGGAACATATTCTTTCCCTCAGGAATTATGAGGGTTTGAGCTCTGGTAGAATCTGAGCCTAGAATCTATTGTTTTTATTCCATTAAGACTCTCAAAGCAGGCTTTTTTTTTTTCTATTGGGAAAAAAGTTAAATGACAAATTGTACTGCTTTCCAGGCTTTTTATATTAATATTGGATAGTGATCAATATCTTTAGCATGTACTAATTATAACTCATCTTTTATACTTAGAAATATTTTAGTTTTTAGCACTAATGCTCAAAATGCTTTATCCTTTTTCTTAATAGGCATTTGGCACAAATCAAGAGGATTATGCAAGTTACATTATGAACGGTATCATCAAATGGGGTGACCCAGTTACTCGAGTTCTAGATGATGGGGAGCTGCTGGTGCAGCAGACGAAGAACAGTGACCGCACACCATTGGTTAGCGTGCTTTTGGAAGGTGAGAAAGAATGATGAGATGGCATTAACAGTTAAAGGAAAAAAAGAAGCATTTTTAAAAAGCCCTTTAGCACATTCTAGAAAAGCAAGTTCTGTTTTTAATCTTGTTCTTGATCTGAAAATAGTAATCTAGTCTATGTATTAATATTGTGTACAAATTAAAATTTCCTTGGGGTAGAATGTTAGGAATGATATCACTAGTTTTCTTGTAGGATTATATCTATATTTCTGTGGCACTTGATACTCTGAATGATACTACATAGACTCAGTTCAAATAAATATTTACTGAGTACTTGTATTTTAGCCATTGAACTAATTGCTGGGAATACGAAGATATTCAAGTGTTCATTCAGTCTGCTCATGAATAAAGGCAGCATAAGGAAATTCCTGACCCCAGTGTATGCATGTAAAGGTGTGTGTGAATGCAAGTCATTTTGCATAGGGGTGGTCAGGAAAAACTAGAGATGATATTTAGTCTAGGCCTTGAAAGACCAGTTAGGATTTTATTGAATAGACAAAAAGTGAAGGACATTCCATTCACAAATAATTAATTTACAGTTATAATGAGTTTGACAGCAGAAAAGTTCAGTGAGGCCCCATGACAAGGGAACCTAACTACCTCTAAAAGTCCTGGGGGGTAAGAGCTTCCTAAGAGAAGCACATTAAGCCAAGACTTGCCCAGTGAGGACACTCTGGCCAGGCAAAGTCACTGGGGAAGATGTTTGACGTAGAGCATGTGAAAAAGTCCTGAGCAAGAAGGAGCTTGAAACAGAAAGGGAGGTTGTCCTGACATGAGACTATAGAAGCAGACAGAGGCCAGTTCATTTAAAATCTTGAAGGCCATGTTAAAGATTTAGAATATTTTAGGGGCAATGGGAAGCCATTTGTAGAATTTTAAGCAGTGAAGCCATATCATCATGACTGCTTTATGATAGAGAATGGATTGGAGGAGCAAAAAGATACAGGAGAGATTAATGGTTAGAAGCAGCTGGATTAGTCTTAATGAGAGTCGATTGTGGTTTGAAGTATGTGGAGTAGTAAAGATGGAGATAAGTAGACTAATTAGAAATATTTAGGAGATAGAATAAAAATGACCTAATTATTATTAATTGTCCATCATAATTAAGCTAACATTCTTTGAGCCCTTGCTATTTGTCAGTCACTCTACTAGCACTGTGCACATATTATCTCATTTAAACCCCACTTCAGTCCTCAAGGATAGATGCTGCTGTTATCTCTATTTTGTAGGCAGGGAAGCTGAAGCTTAGAAATATTTGTTAGATTGGATGTAGGCGGAGGTATCAAACATGACTCCCTGGATTCTGGCATACACAGCCTGGTAAATGGTGCTGTTTACTAAGATTGGGAACATGGAGAAGCAGATTTTTAGAAGAAAGATTGTAAGTTCAGTTTTGAACATAGTTAAATTCAAGGTTCATATAGGAGAAGTAAATCGGAAATGATGAGTAGCCTTTTGGATATGTGGGTCTGGCACCCAGAAAGCGGTCTGGCTGAGTAGACTTTTGAGTTGTCAGTATATAGACTGTGGTTAAAGCCATGGGAGTGGATGAAATCACTTCCAGTGAGGGTGTGGGTTGAAATGAAAAGGAGCCCTAGAACTTGTCTTTGAGACATATTAGCACTTAAGGACTAAATAGAGCAGAAAAAATGACAAAAAGAGACTGAGCAAGAGTAACAGAGAGGAAAGAGGGGAAAAAGAGATGTATATTACAGAAGCCAAGAAAAGAAACATATTTGAAGAAAGGGGAGTTCTGAATTGTATGCAATGCTCCCAAGAGGCTGAAAAAGATACCGAAGTGTTGTTAGGTTTGATGACATGGAGATCATTTGTGACCTTGATGGGAGTCTGTTCAGTGTAATGGAAGTGGGAACAGTAAGATTTAGTGAGGATGTGTGGGAGGTGAAGAACAAAAGCAGCCAGTGTAGATAATTATATAGGCAAGTTCCGTTTTGAAGGGAGAAGAAGGTGTAATGTTGAGGGGTATGATGTCTAGGAAGAGTTTTTTGTTGTTGTTTATTTATTAAACAGTCAGATAGACCAGAACATGCTAAAACACATTTGGAAAGGCCTCAGGGAAAAGGAAGAGGTCGAACATATGGAAGAGAGAAACAATCAGTAATGTCGGGTTTCTGAGAAAATGGGAAGGAAGATTTGATTGGTTTATGGTTGAACAAGGGACACAGCTTCCAAAACTTGGAAGGGAAAGCAGGGTTGTCTAAATGTAGGTAAGTGCATAGATTTGCTTGCCTTTATGAGAAGGCCTGAGTCTTTTGAATTCTAGCTTTTTATGTCACATTTGCTTCTAATAAGGCAATTTTCCCCTTCCCCCAATATCAGCTCCTAGAAAAATTGTATTTTTTGTTAGACAAATGATCTAATAGAACTAATAACATAAGTATTAATATGCACTTGAATGCATTCTCTTCAGAAGCAAAATGCTTACACTCTCTATATTTTGCCAGAAGTTTGAAAGATTAAGGCTATGTGAGAATGTCAGGAGGCATGTATTTCATCATACTTTTGAGAAATGCTAATCAGTTCATTAAGTTTAGTTCCTAATAAATAAGAGAAAACATGTCTGCTGTGAAATTGTGTCAGGAAATGTTAATGAGCAACTAGTCGAGACCTTAGTATGTTCTGAATAAAAGTTTAAACTTGTTTTATTTCCCTTTGCTTAGGTTGGCTTTTTTCCCCCTGACTTGCTCATATCTTTATGCAGGCCCTCCTCACAGTGGGAAGACTGCTTTAGCTGCAAAAATTGCAGAGGAATCCAACTTCCCGTTCATCAAGATCTGTTCTCCTGATAAAATGATTGGCTTTTCTGAAACAGCCAAATGTCAGGCCATGAAGAAGGTATCAGTATTTTACTTTCATTTTAATGTTCTTATCTCTTAAATGTGTGTGTGCACATATATATGCCTTTGTACATGTATACATAGAAATGCATGACAACTGTTCTTCTCAAGTAGAACCAAATTATCAGCAGAATTTGGGGGGAAACAGTGACTGTTGTAGATTTTTTAACTTTGTAATATATTTTCATTGAGTACCTTTGCCTTCTAAATTATGATTTTCATTTCCTGTGCTTGTATCAATTTGATTAAAAGAGTCCTAGTTAAGAATGTTTGAATAAAGTGGAACAAATTCATTTAAGATTTTTTAAAGTTCTTTCATTATTGTACAAAGTTGAACTGTTGGGGTCAATTAAGTTGAGGAAGACAGAGATGTATCAATGGGAAGATAGTCCCAAGAATCCCTACAAAAGGATAGTTTTTTATTAGGTAATAATCAGAGTCTGCTTGGTAACTTAATGCGGTTCTCATCCGTCTTCCTTTCTCCAAGTGCTACCCATCACCTTCTTAGTATGGCCACTTTATACCATCAGTGAAGTTAGAATAGATCCCAGAGCTGAAAAGACCTTAAGACCATCTCGTCCATCTCTCTTGCATTCGAGCAGGTGCCATGCAACAATAGCAAAAATTAATGATGAAGACTCTTAATGGCCATTCCATCTTACTTGTTAGATCATTGTTATTCTAATTTTGCATACTGCCAGACAGTCATGAAATTATTTTTTGTATCCAGCTGAAGTATTTTTTTCATTTAAATCCTTTTCTTCATGCTTGATCATTTATAGATATGAACTGACTTAAGTCCAAGGTCTGTGGGAAAATCAGAATGAGGTGAAAGAATCTTGAGAATTGAAGTACTACCTAGTAAAGACAGCTCAGAGTTCTTTTACATTGCTCTTATGCATTTGCTCTATAAAGACGTAGTGTAGAATTCTTCGGTGTTTCTTTAGGAAAGAGAACGAAAAGGAGAAATAAATTTAAAAGGGAGATGACTCCTAAAACAATGTAAGCTTGAGAAGCTAGTCTCTTGTTTGTGCAGGTGGCAGAAAATTGCATAGGGTATTTCAGATGGAAGGAGGAAGCAGAACTTGTCACAGGATTCCAGCCGCACACACTGAGGAGTCCAGAGAAATACATAAAAATCTTTGAACTTGAGTGTCAAAGGGAAATATTGCCAGACACAAAAAGAACTTATAATATCATAATTTATTCTGTCTCTGAGGTGAAACCAATATCTGTCCTTCCCAGGAAAATCTGAATAGAATAACCGGGACTAGTAATTTTCCTAGAATAGGTAGGGCTGTTTTTGTTTTTTGTTTTCCCTCTGGTGGGAACCCTTAACCCACTTCTTCTGGTAAAAATTTAAATAACAGCCCTTGAAATCTGTCGCTGTTGAATGTCCCATTTATTTATTGAATAGCTAATTCTATTTGCATTTTCCTAAATCATCTATTCCCGTGCTTTTTCAAAAGTAGTAGTCGTCTTTGCAGATGGCAAATTACTCCATTGCTTTCTACCAGCTGCCAGCTTCTACCTCAGATGTACTCTGAGATGTAGGGTGGATGGTCCTAGTTTTTCTATAAAGTTTTTAAAAAGTACTTTAGGCTTCTGCAGATCAAAGCTGCTTTATAAGTGTGAGATATTATCATTTTTATTATTTTAATCTCTTGCAAATTGACTTGAGGGGGGAAGGTAATATGTGCTGATTTTAGAGGCTTGAATGGTTAAATTAATGGCTTAATAACTTACGATTTAATCTTTAAATTGTTGAAGCCTTTCAAGGTAGAGCTTTAGATGAGTAGAAGTAGGGAGTATAAAAATAAGTGTCCACACAAGCTTATTCAGAATTGTTTTAATTCATGATTCACTGTCTGGATCATCCAAGCACTATTGAAGTTACAAAAATTATTTCTGCTTCAGCAGTATAATAACTTTGTAATAGAATATTTGGTTTTACTTGGGGGGAAAAATATTATTCTTTATAATTAAAGTTCAGAAATGAGAAAAGAATGAAGCATAAGTGTCTTAGATATATATTAGAAATATTATAAAATCTTCCCTGCAAATAGTTTTCACATTGTTACCTAATGATAGGTTGACAAAAGCCTGAGGGCTCAGTCTTCCAGGTTGTTTTTGAAAATGAAATATAAATGCATTCTTTAGTATAAGTTCTAGTCTATCTCCCACCACCGTTCTTGCCCCTCCATTTTTGTGTGAGGATGGGAAGAAGATGTTTTCATTTTCTTTCAGAGCACAACAAATTTAAAAGTTTTATAATTCTGTAGAAAACCTTTCTTTTCTTGTAAGTGCAAAACATAGGTAGCTTTTTCTAATTACAGATATAATTTAGAAAATATAGGAAAGAACATAGAAGAAAATAAAAATAAATTCATATTTATACTTGTCCTTCAATTATGTTTTCTACTCAGACACACATGCCCACATGAACACATATACCCCTCCTTTATATATTGGGGATTACATTGAACATACTGGTGTAAACTTGCTTTTTTCACTTAAAATACTACTAACTTTTTTCAGTGTAACTAAAGTTAATCTGAATATTATTTTAATTTAATAGCTGTATAATATCTGAACAGTCCCTTTTTGTTGGACAATTAGGTTGTTTCCAGGTTTTTTTTTTTCACAATTATAAATAATATTGTATATCAAAGAGTTATCTGTACTCCCAAGTTCCTTGCAATAGTATTCACAGTAGTGGAATGGAATCAACCTGAATGGCCTTCAGTGGATGAATGGATAAAGAAAATGTGGCACAAGGCCGGGTACAGTGACTCAACATCCCAGCACTTTGGGAGGCCAAGGCTGGCGGATCATGAGGTCTGGAGATTGAGACCATCCTGGCCAACATGGTGAAACCCTGTCCCTACTAAAAATACAAAAATTAGCTGGGCATAGTGGTGCACGCCTGTAGTCCCAGCTAGTCAGGAGGCTTAGGAAGGAGAATCGCTTGAACCCATGGGGTGGAGGTTGCAGTGAGCGGAGATCACAACACTGTACTCCAGCCTGGTGACAGAGTGAAACTCTGTCTTTAAAAAAAAAAAAAAAAAAAGAAGGGCCAGGCACGGTGGCTCAAGCCTGTAATCCCAGCACTTTGGGAGGCCAAGGCGGGTGGATCACAAGGTCAAGAGATTGAGACCATCCTGGTCAACAGGGTGAAACCCCGTCTCTACTAAAAATACAAAAAAAATTAGCTGGGCATGGTGGCACGTGCTACTCAGGAGGCTGAGGCAGGAGAATTGCCTGAACCCAGGAGGCGGAGGTTGCGGTGAGCCGAGATCGCACCATTGCACTCCAGCCTGGGTAACGAGAGCGAAACTCCATCTCAAAAAAAAAGAAAATGTGGCACATATACACTGTGGAATATAACACAGCCATTTTTAAAAAGAATGAAATCCTTGTAATTTGCAACAACATGGATGAAGGAGCTGGAAGACATTATATTAAGTGAAAGAAGCCAGGCACAGAAAGTCAAATATCATGTGTCCTTATTCACAAATGGGAACTAAACAATTGAACTTATGGAGATAGAGAGCAGAATGATGGTTATCAGAGGCCGGAAAGGGTAGTGGGAATGGGGGAATAAGAAGGGGATGGTCAATGGTTACAAATACCGCTAAATAGAAGTGATGAGATCTAGTGTTCGGCAGCACAGTAAGTTTACTATATTTGAAAATTATGTGTAGTTCAGGGAGCGGGCGAGGTGGCAGTGGCAGTGGCAGTGGCAGTGGCAATGGCAGGGAAAGAGTTGGAGCAGTGCCAGCAGCAGGCGAATGAGGTGACGAAAGTCATGCTTAAAAAGTTTGACAAGGTCCTGGAGCATGATGGGAAGCTGGCCGAACTGGAGCAGCATTCAGACCAACTCCTGGATGTGAGCTCAGCCTTCAGCAAGACAACAGAGACCCTGGCCCGGCATTGCCAGATCTACTTGGGGCCTGTGGTGGGTGGTGGCCTGCTCATCATCCTGATTTTGCGGCTAGCTGTCTTTCTCCCTCAGAACAGTAGTGCCCCACAGACCCAGGATGTAGGCACTGCCTCAGGTTCTGGGTACTGACCCAGCTGGTCCTGAGGAAGAAGCCAAATGGCTGCACTGGCCGGTTCTGGTCTCCAGGGAACCTTGGTGTTTGCTCTCCCAGACCCACCCCAAGGAGTGCCAAAGGGCAGCCCCAGAGTGTGCACCTCTGCATTTCCTGTCATGACACAGACTTGCCCTCCAGGGCAGCCTGCTGTAGTGGCCATGCCGGGCCAGCCCCACGTGGAGCTCAGTAAAAGCTGCTGTTTGATTTTTAAAAAAATATTATGTATAGTTCAAAATAACCAAAAGAGTGCAAATTGAATATTCCTAACAAAAAGAAATGATACATGCTTAATGAGTTTCACAACTATCTTTTTTGACCATTACACGTTTTATATTTGTATCAAAATACTCCATAAATATGTATAACTATCATGTAGCCATAATAATTAAAAATTTATGTAAAAACAATATTCTATAGGACTATAGAACTAGGGAAATTACTGTCTCCATTTTCTCATTAGATTTTTCTTCTGTAGAATAGCATAACACGACCAAAAATTTGGGCTCGCTCAGCTCCCCACACTGCCCGACTGAATGACCTTGGATACGTCATTTAACCTATAAGCCACTTTTCTCATCTATCACATGAAGATAATGTTAATAGCTGCAGTATAGGGTTATTATGAGAATTAAATGGTAATATCTGTAAAGTGTTACACAGTGCCTGGGATATGATATGAACTCAGTAAAGTGTAGTGGTTATTTTTACTTCTTCTTATACATATAATTTTTATGATTTCTTTATGATGAATTCTCAGAAGTGGGAGTGCTAAGGTAAAAACATTAGTATTTTAAAGCTTTTTGATACATAGTGCTATCAAAATTCTTATGTAAAAAATACTAACGGTTTTATAAAGCCTACCCCTGCAGAAAGCTGTACTAATTTGTACTTGGAGCCTCAT